TTTTATCTATTTTTCTTAAATATATTTCCTGGGGGTGAAATTCCCCTAGGTGGCGTTGTCATTTTATTATTTCCTTTTATCTAACCCCGCCGACCACTTGGTCACATCATATTTAGGTGGAAACTAGCGAGCTAACGTCCTGCTAACTTCTAACTGTAATAAATTCTGTTTTCATGGATGCCTGGATATTAAACTTAATTGTTACACCAGGTAAAGCAGCAACACTGATCATTTTATTAAGGATAAAAGAATTTAGACATTTTTAACTCTGTGTTCGTTTGACTTTGGGCAAAAGACTTGAGTTTTGCACCCAGAGGCTCCTGACTACAGTAGCCGAGATGCTCCAATAATATATCAAGCGGTGCGGCTTCGTAGCTTACCAAAGTCGTAATAGAACGTGTTGTTTTTTCTTTTTGTTTTTTTACAGATTTCTGAGCACCGTGTACCGCATAAAATTGGTTGGAGATCAGTAAGCACAATCAGAATTCATACATACATATATAAGGCGCACTGGATTATAAGGTGCACTGTCAATTTTTGAGAAAATTAAAGGATTTTAAGTGTGCCTTATAGTGCGGAAAATACGGTTTAAACTCCTTCCTTGTTTGCATTTTTCTAAAACGAAGCTAGGCATTACTTTTCCATCAGTTTCCTCATTGTGTGATAAATGCAAAGCAATGGAAGGAACCCTTGGCCACATTTTCTGGCCCTGCCCTACAATCAGGAGTTTCTGGGGAGAGATATTTAATATATACAGAAAACCACATATATATTAAATATATATTATGACCTAAAATTAAAGCCAGATTGTATACTTGCAGTGCTAGGGTGCTCCCTAACCTCATTGGCACTTGGACATCCTCTTCAGAAAGCCTTAATATTTGGTATGATTGTGGCTAAAAGACTTATTCTTAGAGCCTGGAAAACACCATCTCCTTTCTTGTTTAGGCTCTGGCTATGTGAGATGATTGCATGTTTGTATATTGAAGAGATTCGTTATCGTCTGGCTGACAAGCACTTTAAATTTGTCTAAATCTGGGGTCCTTTTCTGAATCATATTAACGGGGATTCAACACAATCTTTAACCCATTTGACTGCTCTTTGTGTTTATGTGAAACCACACTTCTGCCGGACCCTGATTCCTTCCTGGACTTGTCCCCCACATCTTTTGGACTCTGTGAATTCTCTGTTGCCTTGTTTAACTTTACACAGAAGATCATTTTCTTTGGACACTAGCATTTTTCTTCAACTTTTGATTTGAACTGGCTAACCGGGGTTTTTCCCCCTTGTTTTCCTGTTCTGGGTTTTTTTTCATTTTTGTCTTTCTTGCTGTGCTTGGATGTTATTGTTTTGTCTGGTGTGATTTTATGTAATCTTGCCCTTAAAGTCTTATAAATAAACATTAAAAAAAAAAAAAAAAT